AATTTATTTCTCACAGTTCTAGAGGCTGGGAAGTCTAAGATCAAGGTGCCAGCCAATTTCGTTCCCTGGTAAGAGACTTCTCTCTTGCAGAGGACCACCTTCTCACTGTCCTCACATGGCAGAAAGTGGGAGCACTGGTCTCTCTTCCTCTAATAAGAAGTCTTCCCATAAGGACATTAATCCCATCATGGGGATTACACCCTCATGACCTCATCTAAACCTAATTACCCGCTAAAGGCCCCACCTCCAAATACCATCACATTGAGTGTTAGGGTTTCATTGTATGATTTTGGGGGGACACAAACATTCAGTCCATAACAGTTTCCCAAATGTAAATTGACGTCTACCTACACTTCTACTAAGGAAGAATGAAATAGCATCAAGCTTTTTTAATTTCTTGGAGAAATGCTTACCACTACTGTGCTCTTTAAGAAAAAAAAGGAAGGGGAAGAAACTAATAAAAATGATATCTTCTACATAGTTCCAGTGGAATATATACCTCAAATATCAATTATTCCCTGATAGTATGTCTACCGTTAAGGTTTTTTTTAAATAAATTTATTTATTTATTTGTTTTTGGCTGCGTTGGGTCTTCGTTTCTTCTCGAGGGCTTTCTCTAGTTGTGGCGAGCGGGGGCTACTCTTTGTTGCGGTGCGCGGGCTTCTCATTGCAGTGGCTTCTCTTTGCTGCGGAGCATGGGCTCTAGGTGCGCAGGCTTCAGTAGTTGTGGCTCGCGGGCTCTAGAGCGCAGGCTCAGTAGTTGCGGCGCACAGGCTTAGTTGCTCCGCGGCGTGTGGGATCTTCCTGGACCAGGGCTCGAACCCGTGTCCCCTGCATTGGCAGGCAGATTCTTAACCACTGTGCCACCAGGGAAGTCCCATACCATTAAGTTTTTATCACAGACTAAAGCAAGCAGTCTGACATAAATAGATAATTTTCTAAGTAAGGTAATTTAAATGCAGTAAGCTTTTACCTGTATGATAGTCTATGAAGTATCACAAAATGAGGAACCACAGGCCATGCCTACTAGATTCATAGAATTGTATTATAGTGTTTCTCAACACATACTTTGGATAATACAGGGTTGAGACTGTGTCATACAATGCAAGACATTTAACATTCCTGGTGCTCTGAGCTAATAACTGCCGGTAGTGGTCTCCAATTATTGTGGAACTGTGGAAAATACCCCCATATATTTCCACGTGCTACGTGGAGGAGAGGCAGTACTGATGAAATGTTCTAGTCCAGATCCTGCATTTTATAAATGAGGAGATGGGTTACAGGTCCAGAGAAGTCAGAAAACTAGGCGATCTGACTTCTTCCCGAGTGTTCTTTCCATTGTTGTATATAACACACTCCTCACTCTCACTGTTCAAGATTAAAGAGGAGCAGTTCTCCTTCGGAATCCCACTCTTACCTGCCCACATCTTTCTTGCCTTTCTTCTCCATCTCTTTTTTTTTTTTTTTATCATTTTGCAACTCAGTAGGTTCAAGAGTCAAATTAAACCATTTTATTCATTTATTTTATCAAATATTTATTGAACACCTAATATGTTTCAGACTCTGGGCTACGAGCTGGGAATACAGTGGTGAACAAAACAGACATGGCCCCTACCCTTGTGGGTAAAGTGAAGGAGATAGACAGTTTTAAAGTAGAATAAATACATGTAACTAAGATCCAGCATACCATGCAGCACAGACAAAATTTTTTAAAACAAGTATGTGTAAATATATAATTACTAACTGTGATAGTGACAGAAATGAAAACCTATGGAGAACCTAATTTAGCATTGGGGCACCAGGGAATGCCTCTGAGAGGAGGTAATATTTAAGACAACGCCTGAAAGTGAGTAGGAGTTAACAGGGGAATACAGCTGAGCCAAGTCCCCGTCCCCAGGTAGGAAGGAGCTAGGAAGGGTAACCAGGGTCGCTAGATCACCATCATAGTAAGCACGGGAGAGAGTTGGGAGGCAGTGCTGGAGGATTAAGAGGGATACAGGCCCTTTCTGGACACAAGGAGAAATCTGAATTTTATTCCAAGAGTAGTAGGGAGCCATTAAAGGTTTTCAACAGAGGATTTACATGATCCAATTTTGTGTTTTTAAAAAGATCACCGTGAAAAGAGTACATGATGTGTAATTCCATTCCAATTAAGTTCAAGAACAGGCAAAACTGATCTAGGAAGGTGGAAATTGGAGGAGTGGTTGCTATGGGGAGAGGGGTAAAGGGCATAAAGAAATTTCCTGGGGTGATGGAAATTTTCCACATCTTGGAGTGGTGGTTACACAGGTGTTGTTTTCATTTACTAAAACTCATCAAAATGTAAGTTAATATTCGTGCATATCTGTATATACATTTTAACTTCATTGAAAAATAATGATCGAGGGACTTCACTGGTGGTGCAGTGGTTAAGAATCCGCCTGCCTATGCAGGGGACACGGGTTCGATCCTTGGTCTGGGAAGATCCCACATGTAGTGGAGCAGCTAAGCCCGTGAGCCACAACTACTGAACCTGTGCTCTAGAGCCTTCGAGCCACAACTACTGAGCCCACGTGCCACAACTACTGAAGCCCGTGCCCCTAGAACCTGTGCTCCGCAACTAGAGAAGCCACCGCAATGAGAAGCCCGCATACCACAACAAAGAGTAGCCTCCACTGTAGCAACTAGAGAAAGCCCACGCAAAGCAACGAAGACCCAACGCAGCCATAAATAAATAAATTTATTTTTTAAAGAAAGAAAAACAGTGATCTGGAATTCCCTGGCAGTGCAGTGGTTAGGACTAGGCACTTTTGCTGCCAGAGCCAGGTTCACTCCCTGGTCAGGGAGCTAAGATCTTGCAAGCCTCTGGGGTGCAGCCAAAAAAAAAAAGAAAGAAAGAAAGAAAGAAAGAAAAAGAATGATCACTTCACTCTGACTGCAGTTACTTTGTGAAGCAGTTTCAAGTTCAAACTACATAAAATTGAGGTTATAGAAATTTGTTTAAAACCCTGAAGACCCAGGAACACTAACTTAGAGACTCTCAGGCCTCAAAGTACTATTTAGTTCACTTAAAACTTCTGGGCTCTAAAAGAAAAAAGGAAGGGAGGAAGCCAACTAAGAAATTTGATCCTTCTACAGTAGCTTCTGTGGAATATATGCTCTAATTATCAAGTATGCCCTGATATATCTACCTTTGAGTTCTTCTCACAGACTAAATCAAAGTTTGACTTAGAAATAGCAATGTATTAACTTAAATGCAATGAGCATCTGCCTGGAAGGTTAAGAACTTGGTGTCCCAGCTGTCTCCAAAAGAGTCTTTCAGTGGGACTTCATTGTATTCTGGAATCAGCTGAGCAGCTTTAAAAATTTTGATGCCTGGGTCCAACTCCCAGAGATTCTGATATAATCAGCCTGGGGTGCGGCCTCAGCATCCAGGTTTTTAAGAGCTCCCTAGAGAGAAGCCAAGGCTGAAAATCAGTGCTTGCCCAGTTCCACCTGGATTCCATTCCTCTATCGTTAAAATGACTCCCTTCAAAGATTCACTGAGCAGTTTTTGCATAATAAGGGCCCTAGAAACTGCCATCGCTTTCTATTGGATTATTTAAAGTAAACTTTAAGATGCTACATTAAAAAAAAAATTAAAAAAAAAAAAAGATGCTACATTAAGATTTAGATTTCGGTACCTTCCCAGTCCCCAGGTCTCACACTGGTCTTAGTGCTGACCTGGAATCTACTGCCCTCCACCTCCCCACCCCGATTTTGGGACGTCTGCGCTCTGGATATAATCCTCCTATGGTTCAGTATCCGGTTCCCCTTGGCAATGCCCTGGGTTTGCTCTTGGGTGTGTTTTCTGATTGACCTTTTTCCAGCTCAGTGGTTAAACTTTTGTGTCTCCATATCCAGCTCCTTTTGGTCTGAGAGGGAAGGAATGTATGAGGGAAGAACAAACCTCCCCCCTCCCCGCTGTTCGCCCTGCAGGCTTAACAGGAGAGTGGGGAAGTGCAAATCCCAGTTTGATGGGCACTACTGAGTGATTACGTTCGAGCTTCAGGCAGAGCAAAACTGCCTCTTTCCGTCCCATTGTTTTTTGTTTTTTCTTTTTTTTTCAGGTATATTGTTTGCCCCCCCCAACCTCCACCCACAAAAAGTCTTCCAAAAGTTGTTCAGGATTTTGGGGAACTGTCTCATTTCCACTACATGTGTACACTGCACCCTGAGAGTGAGTTCACTGCATTATTCATTTGTTTTTCCTGTTTATTTTCCTTTCCTTTTTTTTTTTTTGGTTTAATTTTTTTTGTTGTTGTTTCAATACACGTTTGTTGCCCACCTACCAAGTGCCAGGTGACACATCTCTGAGTCCCGATGTTTAATTTACAAAATAAAGTGCTCTCCTCAAAACACATTCAATTACGTTACAGTACTTTTCTTCCTCGGACAGAAAAGCAGATGCACTATTTGAGAATGTGAATTATAAAATGGTAAAATCCCGTGGTATAAGAATATTAATACATGTTCTAGTGAATGTGTAAATATGGAGAAAATGAACATTTTCCAAGTTAAAAAATTCAAGAATTATACGATTTCAAAGCTGGGGAACTGAGGACATTGCAGATATTGTTGCTACCTGAGCTGCTAAACAAAAATCATTTCACCACAGACTTTTGTCAAATTAGTCTTGAAAAACATTTGAATTGATGGGAGATCTTCAGGAGGATAAATGTTGTTTAAAACAAAACGATCTTATGTCTGAGTTTTCTAAACGTGAGTCTATTTCCCCATCTGGACTGCCAGTTCCTAAAACTCAGGAACCTTCTTATCTCAACATCCCCTCCCCCAGTGAAACAGAATTTTTGCATGAGGTAGGTGTTCAACAAAACTCTGTTGGGGACTTAAAGGGAATGGTTCATTTCACATGGTAATGTGCCTTTCTGAAATAATGAAGTTAAAAACTGGCTTTCAGGAAATATGTAACGGAGAATTACAAAGCAAGAAACTGACTGTGGTTATCCTGCCTTGTCCAGTTAGGACAGAAGTCTCCTGTCTCGGAGGACATTGGGACGCCATTGTCTACTGTTATATTACCTGCCTCTCCCAGTGAGTGCTAAGGGAGGGGAGGACTGGAAGAAATACAGGGAGGAGCCCGTATTCTAGGGTGAAGGTGTTCAAACTGCAGTACTAGAAGAATGTCCAGGGGTAAGTAGCTGTGTAGAATTTTTAAGAAATTCTGTACCCAGACCCTCAACTGTACCTTTCCATAGCATGATTCAGGCTATCCGTCCCCTTTTCCCCTTCACAACAGTATTTCTCCTACCTTAAAGAAAAAAGACTCCTCATGTCCATCCTGAATGTTACTGCAGTATAACGATGTCCCAAGTGTGAGAACTTCTAAGATGCCGTACAAATCGACAATTGGAAATGTCCTCTCTAATGTTTAATCAAGATGCCATAAATCCTCCTTAGCTTCCAGCCTTCCCCAGACTTAAACATATTTCTGTTAAGGGTGCATCACTGATTTATAAACGGGGTGTTTCAGCCTTGGAATGTTCTAAAATAGTGTGGACAATGGGAGTGGTGGTGATTCTTATTTAACGGCCTCTTTTTTTTTAATTCTCCAACTATTGTCCAAGAATGCACTGCTCATAAAAGAAAGTCTGGGGGAAGCAAAGAGCGCTTCAGTAAGAAATAGTGAAAGGCTTAAAATAGCTTTTATTATGAATTTAAGTTTAAAAAATTCTCATCTATTACAGCACTAATCCTCAGGATGTGTCGTTAGCGGGAAAGAAAACACAGTTGGGTAGCTGAAGCAGTATAGGTTAGTAAGGCTAGTTCTTTTAAATGTAACTAGAAGGTTTCCGTGGAGTACCAAATCTTTCAAAAGTTTTTGACACTGGATTAAAACCCATAGATAAACATTTTAAGTAATTTCTTTTAGATTCTGTGTGGAGTATTAAATATAATAATTACAGCATGTTTCATTAAGTCACACCCAAAATATTTATTACCTTACTACAGACCACCTGTTTTCTATATTGCATAAAAAGTTACCACTGGGGCGCCTTCCCTGGTGGCGCAGTGGTTGAGAGTCCGCCTGCCGATGCAGGGGACACGGGTTCGTGTCCGGGTCCGGGAAGATCCCACATGCCGCGGAGCGGCTGGGCCCGTGAGCCATGGCCGCTGAGCCTGCGCGTCCGGAGCCTGTGCTCTGCAACGGGAGAGACCACAACAGTGAGAGGCCCGCGGACTGGAAAAAAAAAAAAGTTACCACTGTTACCTGAAAACTAGGTTTGCTTCTTGGTGGATGTTGAGCCAAAAGACACAACAAAGCCAAAGAGCAGGAGAAGGAAGGATTTATTACTTGCAGTAAGCAAGGAGAACACTGGGGATCTTCCCCAAAGCAGTGTCTCCCTGAACAGGAAAATTGGGGAAGTTTTAAGCTAAGGGTACCTGTTTATTCATGAAGGGGTTTGGGCTGGTGTATGCATATTCATGAAGGGGCTTGAGCAGAAGAGAATTCAGCATAGAATTGGGGCAAAGGTTGTCAGAGTCCAAGGTTTAATTGATTGAAGTCACAAGGGTCAGAAAAGAACATCATCTTTCCTTACATTCAGACCAGTTTGGGGTCTCAGCATCCTCCACCTGGGTGGGGGCCATAGTTCCTGCAGAACTCGAAGTTCTGTATCAGATTGTTATGTATATCCCTTGAGGAGGAACCAGCACTGTATTTATTGCTCATGTATTATTTCTTGACTGCTTTTCCTTTGTTCTTGCACTCCCTCATTTGTCTTAAGATCATTAATTACTGAGACCTGTTAAAGGGCAAGCGTTGTGGCCAGGAGGCAAAAAATGGCTTCTCTTATGTCAAGAAAGCCATGCCTAGTTCTCTTTCTCTAGGGACCTCCTACCCTATCTGCCTATACCAGATAGGTGTAAGCTTACAAGCTCAAAGAACATAATTGACTGCACAGAGGGTCGGTATCCCTAACCCCTGTGTTTATTTATTTATTTTTTAAAAAACATTTATTTCTTGCATTGCTCTATTTAGCCAACCCTTAATATTGCCCTGAAAGCTAGCTAATCTGCAGCTTATTTACTCTGTACGCGGGCCTCTCCCGTTGCGGAGCACAGGCTCCGGACGCACAGGCTCAGCGGCCATGGCTCACGGGCCCAGCCGCTCCGTGGCATGTGGGATCTTCCCGGACCGGGGCACGAACCCGTGTTTCCTGCATCGGCAGGAGGACTCTCAACCACTGCGCCACCAGGGAAACCTTTCTGCACCAACTTTTCCTCAGAAGGTCTGTGCTATTAGCATGGAACCTCACTTATTAATCTGAAGTTAGCCTGTTATATTTACCACTTAACCACAGAGAAATTTCTGCCACATGAAGTCTAGGAAAAATTGTTAGACTACGGCAGATCATTCTGATTTATACCATTATTTCTCAAGTATGGAGACATATTTCGAAAGAGAAAATACTGTTCAAGGGGCTTCCCATCATTAGGAATTGGAAGCCATTGAAGAAAATATTACTCATTTTAGTTTTCTCCGTTGGGTTTCTGACTCTTCCTTCGAGGCACTAGTACCAAAACTTAATTGGCTATGTGAAGTTATACAGTATTAATGATTACGAACTTTATGATTCATTCAAAAAACATTTATTGGGCTTCCCTGGTGGCACAGTGTTTGGGAGTCCGCCTGCTGATGCAGGGGACACGGGTTCGTGCCCCGGTCCGGGAAGATCCCACATGCCTCTTCCCGCGGAGCAGCTGGGCCTGTGAACCATGGCCGCTGAGCCTGCGCATCCGGAGCCTGTGCTCCGCACCGGGAGAGGCCACAGCAGTGAGAGGCCCGCCTACAGAATAAAACAAACAACAACAACAACAACTAAACATTTATTGAGCTCCAGAGCAATATGCTAGGCATTGGGTGAAAATCTGAATCCAAAAGTGAAAAAAATAGGTGGTCGCTGACCTTACAGAATGGAAAAGAGGTTATATTCATTAAAGTTTTTGTGACATTATCGAATACTTACTTTTAAAATTCTATTAATTATACACTAAATATATTATTTACAGAAGTTTTCATAGTATGTAAGTTGATCTTACAAAAATGTGATTAAATATTTTTTCTATTCATTTTTATTTTATTTTTTATTGAGATATAACTGACATGTAACATATTAATTTCAGATGTACAACATAATGATTTGATATACGTATATACAGTTGACACTTGAGCAACACAGGCTTGAATTGCATGGGTCCATTTATGTGTGGATTTTTTTAGTAAATATGTACTACAGTACTATACAATCTGAGGTTGGTTGAATCTGCAGATGCTGAACTGCAGAAATGGAGGGCCAACTGTAAAGTGGATTTTCAATTGCAGGAGGTCAGTGCCCCTAACCCTCAAGTCATTCAAGGGCTGACTGTATTGCAAAATCATCACCACAATAAGTCTAGTTAACATCCATCACCGCACATAGTTAACAATTTTTTTTTCTTGTGATGAAAACTTTTAAGATCTACTCTCTTAGCAATACTTAAATATAGAATACACTATTACTAATGTAGGGGAGCAAAATTTGCCACCCCAAAATGTGTCTCTTTGGCAGGAAGATTATATTAGCCTTTTATTTTTAAGGCCCAAAAGCCGCAGGAAGAAACTTTGACCTTCCCCCTAACCTCTTAAAAGAATGTTCCAGGAAGGGAGCTATCACCAGAGATACTACAATACAAACTAGGTGTGGTAGAAAGGGAGGAACCTAGCAAAATCCTAGTTAAAATTCCTCTCTGTGTCCCATTGTCTCTGCATGACCCAGCAAACATTTGTTTACCTAATATCTGCTTACGCATCTCCATGTAAATTGCCTTCCTCTCCTTTGAAGTCCCAAACCACTACCCCAATGCCCTCTTTTGTCTTTAGGTGAAGATGCTATTTAAGGTGAGGGTTTAGACCATTACTCAGTTCTCCTGGGTCTTTCCTGTGTACACATGTTCTAAAACTTTTGTTTGATTTTTCTCCTGTTAATCTGTCTCATGTCAATTTAATTGTTAGACCAGCCTGAAGAACTTAGAAGGGTAGAGGAAAACTCTTCCTCCCAGATACTAGCTATAGTCACCATTGCTGTACATTACATCTCCAGAACTTATTTATTTTGTAACTGGAAATTTGCACCTTTTGACCACCTTTAAAATCTTATTTGACTGCTTTTAGTAATCTATTTTATATGTTTTTATAGTAGTTTAAAAAGTGTTATATAGTTTATATAGCTTATATAGTGTTTTGATAACAGTTACATTGCACATTAACATAATTTTTGCTTGAGAAATGAAGACTTTTTCTGACAGAAAGTAAATTTGATTTTGCTGATTAGGTTGATAATGAGGACTAGCTTTACTATTTAGATTATGTGGTGGACATTTTCTAAACCTACACTGCCCAGTAGAGTAACCACTAGCCACATGTGGCTATTGAGCTGTTTAACTGTGTCTAAGGTAACAGAAAATTTTTCATTTTAAATGTGAAAAGTAAAGCAATGTAAATTTTATGATCAAAAGTGTTTTGTTGTATTGAATTTAACAATATTTAATATTCTAGCCTTTATTAGATTAAACAAGGTACCTCTAATAGAAGAAAACTGGGTATAATTGGTAGTTAGTAAGTCTTGCTAACCTTCTCGCAAAATGAAGAAATGAATGACAAATCACTAAGTAACAAATCCTTTTGAAAGTCAGGTAGTTTCCAGTTCTTCCAAAAACCAAAGGAGAAACTAATCAAATTGACAGCTATTAAATCATTAAAAATAACTTTTGAAAATAGAAAATTATGTGATTTTTTGGCGTATAACTAGGAAGAAGTTCAAAGCATTGGGTGACAGAGCAATAACAGAATTCTTTCCATTTACATCTACTTATATAGATGGAGAAGGTTTTTCAGACGTTATTGATGCTGGACCTGTCCCATTCTAATAATAACTAATATTCATTCACATATATTAAAATAATTTTTTAAAAATTTAAAACTCCCATTCATGTCATTAGGATAGCTCTTCCAGCAAATTTTTTTCTTAATAATTGTTTATCAGAACCATATTAATGTTGTTTTGATAAGTTGCATAATAATAATGGTAATAGTAACTCAATCCAGAAGAAATTTTTTAACACTCAGGGGAATTTCTTAAACTAAATTTCAA